ATTTAGCCCACCCTACACATCATTGTAAACAAAAAATGGCCTAGCAACCTGTATGACTTTGTAATTTTCATGTCACTATTCCTGTAGTATACACCTGAATATTAGCACCAGTCACTGATGGAGAGCTATCCATTATTGTTGGGGATCCCAGTAAGTGTTTTGTATACATTGCCTAATTTAACAGTTTCTTCAGGGTTGCCAGCTGCATTATTTAGATGAAGAGATTACATAAATGACTATAGAATTCATAGGACTGTTCAGCAAATACTCTTCCAATTCCAGGGATCATGTTAGACCTGGTGTTTGAGTGACCCATATTCCACAGTCCTGACCAATGAAATGGTAAAGAACATTCTGGTGCCATTTTCTTTCAGGCTAAGCTGTTAATTGCTGCTCCAAGGTTACCCAAACTCTTTTCCCTTCAGCCATGGCTACTGGAAATATCCAAGATGGTAACTGCCTTATTAGTCTGCTGCCCTCTGTATATACATAGTATAAGGAGTGAACCTGTTTGAAGTAAACCTTTCTAAAACCATATTCAAAAATAAACACTTCATCACCCAATTGGTTTTTGCCACATATTTGATCACAGTCACATAAAGATAGCTAATACACGAATAGTATAAATTCATCTCACATACACCTCCCAAAATTTATAACACCTCTAAAAATTGTTCCAGACTTTGAAGGCCAATCAGTCGCTCAACACAAGGCCTATGGGGACATTTCATATTAAAAACCAAAATATGCCCGGCAGTGGTGGTGCACACGCCTTTAATCCCAGCACTCGGGAGGCAGAAGCAGGTGGATCTCTGTGAGTTGGAGAACAGCCTGGTCTACAAGAGCTAGTTCCAGGACAGCCTCCAAAGCCACAGAGAAACCCTGTCTCAAAAAACACCCCAAATAAATAAATAAATAAAAACAAAAACAAAACACAGTACAAATTTTCACCTTTAATAAAATTCTATTCAGACATTTCCCTAGTGCCTGATTTCTCTGTAAACCTAAAATGTCTCCCTCTATTATGGTATCTCCATTCTTGTTATCATCTATTCCTCCCCTGACTCAAATTTTCTGCTCCCTCATGTCCTCCTCACACCTCCTCTTCTCCCATTCTCATTCACCTAGCTCCCTCTCCCCATTTCCCGTGCTCCCAATTTGCTCAGGGGATCTTGACCCTTTCCCCTTCGCCAGGGGACCATGTATGTCTCTCTTAGGGTCCTCCTTGTTTACTAGCTTCCCTGGCAGTGTGGATTGTAGGCTGGTAATCCTTTACTCTACGTCTAAAATCTGCATATGAGTGAGTAAATACAATGTTTGTCTTTTTGTGATTGGGTTACCTCCTTCAGAATGGTCTCTTCTAGTTCCATCCACTTTCCTGCAAATTTCAAAATTCCATTTTTTTTTCCGCTGAGTAGTACTCCATTGGGTAAATGTACCACATTTTCTTTATCCATTCTTAGGTGGAGTGGCATCTAAGCTGCTGCCAGTTTCTGGCTATTACAAATAGTGCTGCTATGAGCATCGTTGAACAGATGTCCTTGTTGTATGAATGTGCTTCTTTTGGGTGTATGCCTAAGAGTGGAATGATGACTGACTTATATGCCACCCAATAACCCTCATCCAGCAGCTGGTGGTAGTAGAAGCAGACACGCACAACTAATCACCCAAATGAACTGGAACCCAAATGCAGAGAAGGACGAGTGAAGAGCAAAGGGGTTCAGACTAGGCTGGTGAAATCCACAGAAACATCTGACCTGAACATTGGGGAACTCTTGCTCCCCAGACTGATAGCTGTAATACCAGCATGGGACTGATCCAGACCCCAGGAACATGGGTTTCAGTGAGGAAACCTCGGACGTCTATGGGACCTCCTGTGATAGTTTAGTACTTATCCCTAGCATAGGTGTGGACTTTGGGAGCCCATTCCATATAGAGGAATACTCCCTGAGCCAAGCACATGGGGGTGGGCCTAGGCCCTATCCCAAAGGATACAATAGATTCTGATGACACCCTGTGGAAGGCCTCACCATCCAGGGGGAGCAGAAGGGATATGTGATAGATAAGGTTTTAGTTGGGGGTGGATGGTAGGGGAGGACGGGAGGGAGAAGGGAACTGGGATTGTCATGTAAAACAATCCTGTTTCTAATTCAAATAAAAAAAATGAAAAGAAAAAAATAAAATTATATTCATTCTTTAAGTTATTAAGTAACTATGCCTTTATAACTTACAATGCATTCTTTTATTCTAGCATACATACATGTGTATGAACTTTGTTATGAAACTATTTCTTAAATAAGAGTAATTTTTTTTGGTTTTTCGAGACAGGGTTTCTCTGTGGCTTTGGAGGCTGTCCTGGAACTAGCTCTTGTAGACCAGGCTGGTCTCAAACTCACAGAGATCCCCCTGCCTTTGCCTCTCAAGTGCTGGGATTAAAGGCGTGCGCCACCAACACCCGGCAAGAGTAATAATTTATTTCAAATATGTCATCAACAGAGGCCCAGCAAATGTCTCTTACAGAAACATTGAATATAGAAATCAGGTATTTAATTGTTCACAGCTGGCAAGGAAATGAATTTAAAACCCTTGAAATCAAGGGTTTTCATTTTATCCTGTTAAATGAAAACATCATTTCTACAATTGTTTAAGTAGGACAGAAACAAAGATAAAAGCATGTTTACTAAATGCTGTGTTCTGAAGAGTACATACATTTCCTTTCTGAGTGATAGATTGTTAGGAGAGTGCCTTGCACAAAATTGGTAAAATGGTTGTATGTTGATGGTAAATTAGCCAAAGTAGTAAATTCTAGCCTTAGTTGATCTATATGACATATATGTATATGTATTCGTATACATATGTATACATGTACATATACATGTATGTATGTATGACATCAGTCTTTAACTTTTTGTATTTCTATGCTAATGTTTCATTGTATTTAAAAAGGGTATAATACTTTTTTTGTTTGTTTTGTTTTTGTTTTTCAAGACAGGGCTTCTCCGAGTAGCTTTGGAGCCTATCCTGGCACTTGCTCTGTAGAATAGGCTGGCCTAAAACTTGACGAGATCCGCCTGCCTCTGCCTCCCGACTGCTGGGATTAAAGGTGTGCACCACCAACTCCTGGTATAATACTTAAAACAAAATAAGTAAACTGCTGATACAGAAGCCGCAAACAGTTGGCATCATTATGCCGGCATAACCTATCCTCCTCTGACTAATACAGGTGACTTCTATATCCTGTAGCTGGTCAATGCAGATACTGCTTGATTGATGGGTCTCAGCCTTAAATCACAGAATAATTATTTCACTTAATATTAATCTGAGACACAAGATTCCCACTCACGTTCTCTATCCTTCTTTTTCCCCTTCTCAACCATTCTTCTTCCTTCTGCCTCTCCCTCTCCAGCATAGATACAAGAGATACCAGGAATGTTCTTGATAATAATTAAAGAAGTGAAAGATAAATGAAAGAGGGTCATTGTGCTGTCTAGGATTTTGGTCAACTTGAAACAAGGTAGCCATTTTGGAAGGGGGGACTCAACTGAGAAAATGCCTACACCAGATAGGCCTATGAACAAGCCTGTGGTGCTTTTCCCTAATTGATCATTGATGTGGGAGGGCCCAACTCACTGTAGGTGGTGCTACTCTTGGGATGGTGGTCCTGGGCATTCCTGGCACCTCAAAAGACTTGGAACTAGGCATGGTGGCACATGCCTCTAATCCCAGCACTTGGAAGGTAGAAACTGAGTCCAACATATATTACCTAATAAGTTCCAGACAGTGTAGGCTATTTAGTAAGGCCATGTCAAAGAAATAAAGAAAGAATGAAAGAGCAGAAGGAAGAAGGGAGAGAGGAGGGACAGGAGAAGGGAGGGAGGGAGGGAGGGAGGGAGGGAGGGAGGGAGGGAAGGAAGAATCCAAAGCCCAGTATGGTGGCACACACCTTTAAATCCCAGCACTTGAGAGGCAGAGGCAGGCACGTATCCGAGTTCAAAGCAGTGTGGTTTACATAATGAATTCTAGGCCAGCCAGAGCTACACAGTGAGACCCTGTCTCAAGAAAACAAAACAAAACAAAAACAACAAACAAGTCAACAAACAAAACAGGGATCTGTGCCCACACAGTCTTCACATTTTCCACCAGTAGAATTTAGTTAATGCGGAAACTCCTTCCATACAGTCTGGGCCATCATTTCCTCTAAATATTTTTCATTCATTGATTAATTCTTTAGAAAATAGTTCCCAGGAGTAGTAAAAACTGCTTAATCCAGATGGACTCATTTTATTTGTTTAATGGCAAGTTTAAAATTTATGTTCCAGAATATAACCTTTTTATTGTATGTATGAGACAGGGTCTCATGTGGCCCAGGTTTGCTTCTAACTTGAATGTCTGACCCCTTGCTCCTACCTCTCAAGTGCTAGAATTTTGGGAATGTGCACCATATCCAATTTTATGTGATGCTAGTGATCCAACCCAGGGTTTCATGCCATCTAGGAAAGCACTCTACCAACTGAACTACATCCCCAGCCTTGAAATGGATCTTTTGCAAACAATCTCCCTTTACATTTTGAGATGGAGGATTTGGGGGCAAAGGTGCTACATTTTTTTCCTTCCAACATAATATTTTCATGGGTTATTTGGGAATTTCACATAATGCACCCTGATCACACCCATTTCCCACTTCTCCAAGGTCCTCTCTCCCACCCTTGTGACCTTCGCCTCCCCTCAAAAAATAAGGAAAATGCTTTCTTTAAGGGGCTGGCCACTGGGAGTTTGACCATGCTCCAGTAAGTATATGGGCAACACAAAAGGTGCTACTTCTTAATGGGGTTTGATATACTTTACTCATTTAGCATATCCAAGGAAAAAGGAACAAAATGTATCAGATTGATGCCTTTGACAAACAATCATTTTCTGAAAAGGTATAACCTTATAAGGGACCTGGCTGTGCTGTCTACTTTGTGATAGCAGATGTTGCCATTTGGTGCTTTATCTTTCAGGAAAGGTGGACTTCTTAACTCATCTCAGGCCCAAGGTATCTTTCAACAAGAAGGCATCAGGAGATGACACTACAAGAAGAAGCAAGATGACCGTCAGAGCCCTGTCTCTGTATTTCTGTACAGACCATGAAGTTTCCTGCAGCTTTAGAAATCCAAGGGATCTGCTACTCATGATGCAAAGAGAAAACAGTTCTTCCATTTTCCTCACTCCATTAGCCTTATATATTTGCTCTGCTTTTCCAGACCCTTCTAAAAAGAAAAATGAAAAGAAAAAAGAAAGAAGACCTTTGCTTCTGCATCTACCCCAAACGTGTTTGACAGATCGTTCTTGGGTTTAGGTAGCTACTTCCTCAGGTTAATCACACAATTCCACTCCTACACAACCCAGTCTTTCCTGAGTCTTGTGATTTCACACCCTTACTCAGCTTAGTCATGGAATTACAATCACATTAAATTACCTCCACTTAAGAGGCTTCCTATGCACACACATGCACTCATGTTTCAGCATTGAGCAGAAACTATTATTTAAGCATAATGCATTTATCCAGAGCCCAGAGTCCATGTCAATATTTCTGATGATGTAACTTGACAGCACTCTGTGTGACAATAACAGTAAAATCTGATTTAGCAGCAAGACTCAAGAACCTGGCATCTCTGCATTTAGTTTAATTGTTACCCAACTCATGATGAACTTAAAATGTCCTTTGGTTTCCAACTCTTGGTTTTCCTGCTTTAGTAAGCCCCATGAATTAACTTGCTAAGGGTTTTGCAATAACAGTTTTCTGTCTTGGGTTCGTAATTAGAATCATTAGTTGTCACTGGAAAGGCCTCCAGAACTGGAGATCATAAGATCAACTTTCTTGGTATAGCTGTTGAATAAACCCTGATCCTCTTCCTTACAGGCATTTATTCACACTGCATTTCTCAGCTGCCCTTGAAGGTAGGTATAATCATGTGACTGCAATAAAGATAAAATGGCTCTAGATCTTGCTCATTTAACTCCCCAAGCACCATCCTATAACAGGAATGTTCATCCTGTTACCTAAGATAGATAAGAACTCAGACCAAACTCAAATTGCATTCTTAAACCTAAGAGATTATTTTTGCATGTTTCATAGCTTGATTGAACAGCTCTCCAGCATGAACTGTGTGGATGACAATTATCGTGTTGAACATCAAAAGATACTTCTATTAGAGGGAGACATTTTAGGTTTAAAGAGAAACCCGACACAAGGGAAATGTCTGGAGAGCTACAAAGATAACACCAACTAACAATCTAAGCAACAGAGGACAGGCTACCTTAAATGCCCTCCCCTGATAATGAGAATGATGACTGACTTATATGCCATCCTTATAGCCTTCATCCAGCAGCTGGTGGAAGTAGAAGCAGATAGCCACAGCTAATAAACTAAACTGAATTGGAATCCACTTGCAGAGAAGGACGAGTGATGAGCAAAGGGGTCCAGACCAGGCTGGTGAAACCCACAGAAACAGCTGACCTGAATGAACATCGGGGAGCTCTTGGGCCCCAGACTGATAGCTGGGAAACCAGCCTGGGACTGATCCAGACTCCAGGAACATGGGTGCCAGTGAGGAAACCTCGGAAATTCATGGGGACTCCTGTAGTAGATCAGTACTTATTTCTAGCATAGGTGTGGACTTTGGGAGCCCATTCCACAGAGAAGGATACTCCCTGAGCCAAGACACACAGGGATGGGCATTGGCCCTATCCCACATGATATGACAGACCCTGAAGACCCCCTATTGTTAGGCCTTACCTTCCCTGGGGAGCAGAAAAGGTATGGTATAGGTAGGGTTTTAGTTGGGGGGTAGTAGGGGAAGAGGGAGGGAGAGGGAACTGGGATTGACATGTGAAAAAATCTTGTTTTTAATTCAAATAAAAATGGAAAAAAGGTACTTCTTTTATTTGTAGAATTAGTTATTTTGGGAGACAAGGTCTCATTAGCCCAGTACACTGGCTAGTTTTATGCCAACTTGACATAAGCTATGGTCATTTTGGAAAGGGAAACCTCAGTTGACGAAATGCCACCACCAAATGGACCTGTAGGCAAGCCTGTGGAACATTTTTCTGATTGATGATTGATGTGGGAGGGCCCGGGCCACTTTGGGTGGCCCAGGCCCTATGTTAGTGGTCCTGGGATATATAAGAAAGAAGACTGAGCATGCAAGCCTCTGCATTGGTTGCTGTCTCCAGGTTCCTGCCTTGAATTCCTCCCCTGACTTCCCTGGATGATGGGCTACAAGCTACAAACTGAAATAAACCCCTTCCTCCTCAAGTTGATTTTGGTCATGGTATTCATCTCAGCAATAGAAACCCTAAATAAGAATCCAGTTAGGCCCTGAACTTGCTATGTACACAAGGATGATGGTGATCTTCATTTCTCCATCTCCCAAATGCTAGGATTACAGGACATAGACCTGTACTGCCGAGAGTATTCTTTTTATCCCAAATAGCAATGATACATTTTCATTCTTTAGAATTTGGAAAAGTATTCCACTCTGGCTTGTTATGTCACCTGGCTTGTTAATGTTATAGGAAGAAATCTCCTGTAACAACAGAGAGGATAGAAAGGAAAAACTAAGAGGATATGGAAAAGGAATTGGGCCACTCATGTCCAAGCCTGGTCAAAGCCTTTTATCAGCCAATAGTCAAGAATCTCAACACAGAGTGACAAAATTCACTGTGAAGATAGCATATATAGAAACAGCTTCCATTTTTTCTTTTACTGAAAATAAAATTTTTTTCCTCATATATCTTGATTATGGTTTCCCTTCCCTCTACTTTTCCCAGCTCCCCTTCTCACATATGGACCTACCCCTTTCTGTCTGTCATTAGAAAACAAATAGGTTTCTATGAAAATAAAACAAAAGCTATCACAGCAAAGTTGGACAAGGCAAACCAACATAAGGAAAAAGGAGCTAGAGAAGGCACTAGAATCCGAGACCTGCTTGCTCACACACTCAGGAATCCCATAAAAGCACTGAACTGGAAGGCATAATATGTATGCAATACACCTGTAGGATAAAAAGAGAAGACAAAGAAATATATAAACAAATTAAAAATAAGATAACATCCATTTTTAGGGAGATATTCCAAATAAGTATGAACTGAAACTCCCAGGAGAAAATGAAAAACTGCACCTGTGCTAAAGATTATACAGCACCAAATGACTGAGTTCAAGATTACAGAGAGGTAAAATGCTGCAGATCAGAACCAAGTTATCTCGGGCTATTTTTAGTCTTGTTGAAGGTGTCTGACCTAACATCCTTAGGACTATCTAAACCAGCAGTTCTCAGTTTGTGGGTCACGATTACTTTGGGGGGAGGTGTCAAATGACCATTTCACAGGAGTTGCATATCAGATACTTACATTATAATCCAGGCCAACAGCAAAATTACAGCTATGAAGTAGCAATGAAAATAATTTTATGGTTGGGGTCACTGCAACATGAAGAACTATATTAAAGGGTTGCACCATTAGGAAGGGTGAGTGAGAACTACTGATTTAAACCTTTAAAATGTATTCTTAGTAGACCATTAGTTTCCACACATCCAAAAGCTAAGAATGTCTGCTGATAGGTTCTGACACCCTCAGCAGGTTTCCACCTTTTCTCTAGCCCGCCTACCTGAGATCCACAGAAATACATTTGGTAAATACCTTGACTTGTGATTTTCTTTTTTCCATAAATAATAAAATTCATTGTAACCACTTCTACAGTGCAACATGTCTTCCCGGGCAACCTGAATCCCTGTTTCTGGGCCATGATTGGTAATATTTGGCTAAAGTATAAACTCTCTTCTACTGTGGTGAAGGATATTTTTGCATCTACATAAGAATGTTGAAGTAGGGGACTGGGGAGATGGAACAACATCCACAGTGGTTCTCCAATTTACAAACACACACACACACAGAGAGAGAGATGGAGAGAG